TAGAAATAGAGACATCTACAATTTATGTCCGAATACAATAAACAAACCTATGTTCGACTGCTGCCACAATATAGCCATTGGAGGCCAGCTCTAGACAAATGGTACTATATGAAGTACGACAACATCCAAGACCGTGAGAGAAAACAACAACTGGGAACTTGCGACTTTCTGTCATCGGGGCAGCATTCCACAAAGCAGGGCAGTGAACATTACCTGACAAATACATAAAGAACAGACTCTTTGAGCGTGATTTGACTTGAAAATTCTATTTTGTTTTCATAACATACAAATATCAAGAGTTATTCTTGTAATACATTACTAGTGTTAGACGGAATAGTGGAATCTGAGTCTGGGCACGCTAACTACTAGATCACACCCGGTCCGTTTTATTAAGAATTTCTTGCTTTAATAGTCACTCGGTGGTTGTTTTATTTTCGATAACATATCAAAAGATGTATTATATTATCCACTTTTAAATGTCCTTGCACTATTCCGCCTGTAGATGACTATTATTCTCTAATTTAGAACTGTTGACCGACGATTCGTTATTAATATAGAACTGTTGACTGACGATTCGTTATTAAAGCTCATAAAACATTATTCACAAAATATTACAGTTCTGGTGGCGGCAAGGTACGAACTCTGATGCTGCCTTTGCTAGCCAACTTCTAGTTGCGTGCCAGGTTTATTCAATACCTTGCACGATCCTGCTATACGACTGAAAGAATCATAAACATAGAGACTGCTGAAGCGATCCTTTTCTTCATTAACTCCTTTCGGTTTGTTGAAAATGATTTCGGCCACTGTTTGTGTTTTATATGCGTTTCGTTCGAACAACAAGCAACCTTAATTTTTTTGTAGCACTTCGTGAAGTTTTTAACTGCAGTGAAAGAAAAACTTTGCGGATAGTAATTCAAATACACGTGACTTTATATTGGTTTAACCAAATCTCGCCTGAGAAGTTCATCTTAATGGATGTGATTACTAATAAGCTAATCTTAAATTTCAATCCCATTGTAGTATGTTATTCTCTTACAAAACGAGAAGAATGTTACCAAGGCATTCTGCATATCTCATATGATATAATTAGTTTGATCTAACAAACAGGTTAGATCAGTGTTTCCCAAACGTTTGTCATCCATGCCCCGCCCCCAGTGGCACAGTGGTATGTCTGAGGACTTAGAGCGCTAGAAACCTGGTTTCGATACCCATGGTGGGCATAGATAGCCCATAGTGTAGCTTTGTGCTTAACTTCAAACAAATAAACAAACAAATCCATGCTCCTCTTTAATAAATATGGTTTCTTCCGTCCCCCCCTCTTTCTTTAAATGAGTGAAAGAGTGAGTTAAGTCACGAGATATAATACACGGACACGCATTAAAATGCTATATGTGTTGTAGTGATTACTTATTTTTTCATTAATAAATGCATATATTAAAAAGTTTAATTTTGCAGTATTGCACTATTGACTACACCCTAATCGCTCGCGCCTCCCAAGAGATCATTTGCGCCCCCTGAGTGGCACGCTCCACATTTTTTGGGACATCTGAGACTATGCTTTGTTGCCAGTTATGGTCGAAATGTTTATCAATAATATAATTATGTTGTAAGAATGACGTTAAGAAAAGTTTGTCTGTTTCAGCTTGTTTGTTTGTTTGTTTGTTTTGAATTTCGCGCAAAGCTACACGAGGGCTATCTGCGCTAGCCGTCCATAATTTAGCAGTGTAAGACTAGAGCAGCTAGTCATCACCACCCACCGCCAACTCTTGGGCTACTCTTTTACCAACGAATAGTGGGATTGACCGTCACATTATAACGCCCCCACGGCTGAAAGGGCGAGCATGTTTGGTGTGACGGGGATTCGAACCCGCGTCCCACAGATTGCGAGTCGAGTGCCCTAACCACCTGGCCATGCCGGGCCTATCTGTTTCAGCAAAAAGCCACACTGGACAATCTGCTGTTCACTGTGATGTAACGAACAACGGATTTTAGCGTTGTAAGTCCTTAAATCCACATTAAACAAAAAAGATCGAGCGTGATTGTGTTTTCACTTAACTTGTTAGGTTTATCCGGGCTTAGAAAACTGTGACTTTGAAAGCGAATCTTAATAACAATAATGAAAAAAAAAAAATAGAATATTTGATTTGATCAGCAACTATCCCAGTTTTGTGTGTGTGATCAAACGTTTTGATTACTGTGCATGTATATCATGTATTCCACACCTGTACCCATGAGACTGATAATCACATAGACGAATGTTACACAGTCCCGGATGTTTTGGTTATTGTCGTACAGTAATGATTTGTTTATAACATAAGTTTCCTGATTTTCGCACAAAGCTACACAAAAGGGTATTTGCGCATAGACGTCTTTAATTTTGAACTGAGACGTAGACGGAAGGCTAGTCACCAGCATCCAACGCCAACTCTTGGCTACTCTTGTCCGACCGAATAGGCCCGGCATGGACAGGTGGTTAGGGCGCTCGACTCGTAATCTGCGGGTCGCGGGTTCGAATCCCTGCCCCACCAAACATGCTCACTCTTTC